GACAAGGATCGGGGTGTGACAGCACTGATTTTGACTCTGCCCGAGGGAGTTGACGAATTCATAGTTTATTGTGACGCGTCGATTACGAGCATGGGTGTGGTTTTGATGCAGAGGGGTCATGTGATAGCTTACGTTTCGAGGCAGTTGAAGCCTCATGAGGCTAACGATCCGACGCATGATTTAGAGCTGGGGGCTGTGGTGTTCGCCCTCAAGATTTGGCGGCATTACCACTACAGGGTCCGTTGTAACATTTACATGGACCACAAGAGTTTGAGGTACCTTATGGATCAGCCGAATCTGAACATGAGGCAGTGTCGGTGGTTAGATGTGGTGAAGGATTATGACTGTGAGATCCTTTACCACCCGGACAAGGCCAATATGGTGGCCGACGCCCTGAGCCACAAGGCGGTGGCGGCTCCGATTAGGGATATATGTTGGAGGATGACATTGATCACTCCACTACTGGAGCAGATTAGGGAGGCACAGGTTGGGGGCCTGAAGGAAGAGCGCCAGAAGTGAGAGAGGATTGTAGGCCGGGTGGCCTCATTTGATTATAATAGCCGAGGGTTGTTGACCCTGCATGGGAGGGTCTGGGTTTCGTACTGGGGTAGAGTACGACATGTTCTGATGAATGAAGCCCATAAGTCGAGGTTCTCCATCCATCCTGGGGCGACGAAGATGTATCAGGATCTTCGACCTGATTACTGGTGGCCCTGCATGAAGAGGGACGTAGCGTGGTATGTGGAGAGGTGATTGACCCGCAGGAAGGTCAAGGCTGAGCACCAGAGACCACACGGAAAGATGCAACCGCTATACATTCCCGTGCGGAAATGGGAGGATATCACCATGGATTTCATTACCAAGCTTCCCACGACCGCACCTGGAGTATATTCGATATGGGTCATCGTGGATCGGTTGACCAAGAGCGCTCATTTTATCCCGATCCAGGAGAGCATATCGGCCGAGAAGTTGGACGAGATATACGTTCGTGAGATAGTAGCATGGCATGGAGTGCCTGTCTCGGTGGTGTCAGACCGAGATGTCCGTTTCATTCCCAGATTTTGGAACCAGTTCCACGAGGAGATGGGTACTCGTCTCCACTTCAGCACCGCTTTCCACCCTCAGACAAACGGAGAGAGCGAGAGGACGATACAGACTCTCAAGGACATGCTACGTGTATGTGTTTGGATTACAGTGGCAGTTGGGATACGTACCTTTCGTTAGCAGAATTTTCGTATAACAACAGTTACCACGCAAGCATAGACCGACCTCCCTTCGAGATGCTATACATGAGGAAGTGTAGTACCCCAATCTGTTGGGGTGAAGTTAGTCAGAGAGTCATGGGGAGTACTGAGGTAGTACTCAAGACTACATAGCGGATCCAGCAGGTCCGGAGCAGGCTCCAGACTGCTCAGAGTCGGCAGAAGAGCTACGCCGACAAGAGGCGTTCAGATTTAGAGTTCCAGGTAGGCGAAATGGTCCTCCTGAAGGTGTCACCTTGGAAGGGTGTCATTCGGTTTCGGAAACGGAGCAAGTTGGGCCCCAGGTACATTGGTCCCTTCCGGGTTATAGCCCGAGAGGGTAGGGTGGCTTATCGGTTGGATCTACCGGCAGAGCTGAGTCAGATCCACAACACTTTCCATGTTTCCCAGTTGCGGAAGTTATTAGTGGATGATTCAGCGATTGTACCCTTGGAGGACATTCAGGTTAGCGACAGCCTGAACTCCATTGAGAGACCGGTCGCAATCCTGGATCGCAAGACCAAAACCTTGAGGAACAATGTTGTTCAGCTAGTGAAGGTGCAGTGACAGCACCGCAAGGGTTCGGAGTAGACGTGGGAGCCCGAGGAGGAGATGAGGGAGCACTACCCAGAGTTTTTTTCAGATGCAGAAGACTTTGAGGACGAAGTCTAAGACAAGTGGGAGAGAATTGTAACACCCAGATCCCTGGTATGCATTAAATATTTATTTATTCATTTTATGAGAAGGACTCGACGAGTTGGTGGCCCTAACTCGTCGAGTAGAAGACAGATTATGGCCGAGTTTTAAGTTAACTACTCGACGAGTCGGGAGTCTCGACTCGACGAGTAGGACGACCAGGATGAAACCCTAATCTTTAGGGATTGCACCCTATTTAAGCATCATATCTGGCCTCCACCCCAACCTCTATCACCTCCAAACCCTAATCTCGAAACCCTAATCAACCTTGAGTGATCTTGAGCTATTTTCTTGCCATTTTTGTGATTTAATGCTAGAAGAAGGAAGCAAGGACTTGGAGTTGTAGGAGGAAGGCTGAAGATCCAGAGCTTAGGATTCATTTATGTCTTGATAGAGGTATGAAGCTTATACCTTGGCTTCTATTCACTTAGATCTTCATTTAAGCTTGTATATTGTCACTTTTGGGCCATTTCCAAGGTCATTTCCGAGATTTGAATTCTTGGTGATGGAAGGACTTCAGATCTGGGCACTCTTGAGCTTTAGAAGCTCAAAGTTGCCACCTTTATTCAACCATGGCCCTATTTCATGACTTAGACCTCCATTTGTAGCTTGTGGTGGGTGTTTTAGCTTCATAACACCATGCATGCACGTAAAGTTAGCAACTTTACGTGTAATGCTAGTCTAAGGAGTCCAGATCTGTGAGTTGGAGGCATTGGAATTGATTAGAATCGACTGTATGGATTTGACATTGGGGGACTCGATGAGTTATTCATGCAACTCGGCGAGTCGGGTCGTGGTCCCCTAACCTTTTCTGGTTTTGAGTGAACCCGTTGAGTCTAAGAGATGACTCAACGAGTTGGGCATGATTAGGACTCGGAAACTGAAGAAGTCGACGAGTCAAAGGAGGGACTCGACGAGTTAAGTCATTTTGTCCCGATTCTTTACAAGGTAGAACTCGACGAGTCTGTGAAGGGACTCTACGATTTGACTCAGTTTATCACAAGACCGGATAGCATAATACTCGACGAGTTAAGAGATAACTCGACGAGTTGGGTTGACTGGGAGTCGACCTTGACTTTGACTTTGACCCAAGCGTTGACTTTGACTAGGGGTAAAATGGTCATTTTACCCTAGGAAGAACTATCGGATTTTGATTAAGTGTATTATGAAATTGATAGCTGGGGAGTCGCTGGAGCAGCAATTAGAGATTCTTAACTCGAGTTTTCAGTAGTCATCCTTACGAGGTGATTTTCCTTCAGTAGGAACAGGTCTACGGCACCAAGGCTGGCCCGTATATGTAAAGTAGCTGAGTGTGGGTTGGGCCCGAATCTCGTAGTATTATTTGAATATAGCTATGTGACTGTTTGATAGGAGTAGATATACTTGTTGTCTGTGTGATACTTGTATGTATGTTATACAGCGGAGTGTGGGCGGGGCCCGAATCTCCTAGACAGCGGAGTGTGGGCGGGGCCCGAATCTCCTAGACAACAGAGTGTGGGCGGAGCCCGAATCTCCTAGATAGCAGAGTGTGGGCGGGGCCCGTATCTCTTAGTTTCATGTTATGTATGGTATGTGGTAGTTTGGGGAGACTCACTAAGCTTCGTGCTTACAGTTTTCAGTTTTGGTTTCAGGTACTTCCACTAGCAAGGGGAAGGGCTCTGGATGATCGCATGGCACACACCACAGTTTTAGCATGGGATGTTTAGACTGTGATATTTTTCTCATATGATTTTGATACAGTATTTTGACATGATGTTTTGAGATACATGATTCTTGATTTTCTTTATGATGATGGATGATTTATGGTTTTGTTATAAGTTTTAAAACGAATTTTTTGGACTGTATTTTTGGGATGTTTCAGTAGGGACGCAAACAACTAAATGTACCATCTAGCATGGGCTGTTGTGCCAGTAGAAAACAAGGAAACTTGGAAGTGGTTCTGAGATCTTCTACTTGAGGACATTGAGATGGGAGATAGTAGGGGTCTTACAATTATTTCGGACCAATACAAGGTGTGTTTTAGTTTACTTTTACTTAGTAATTTATGTGTTTTTATGTGCTTTATAACTTAAAATTGGTATCACCTTGTAGGGTTTGATGGAGGTTGTTAAGGAAAGGACACCATCATGTGAGCATAGGAATTATGCCTGAAACATATTTGTTAACTTTTAGAAGAACGGGTTCATGGGTGTCGAGTTTAGGAGGTTATTTTGGAGAGCTGCAAAGGCTACAACTGACTCCACTTTCCGCTCATACATGAGGGAAATTTGTACAATGTCCACAGAAGCTTATGACCACCTGATAGAAAGAGACCCGAATACATGGTGTAGGGCATTCTTTGAACCTGAGAGTTGTTGTAATGTCGTGGAAAACGATATATCTGAATATTTCAATACAACAATCGTAGAGGCACGGAAGAAGCCCATAATAAAAATGCTGGAAGAAATCAGGTTGTACGTGATGGAGACGATCTACAATAAAAAGCTTAATGGGAAAAATTTGGACTTGGAAATCTGCCCTTCTATTAAAAAGAGGATTGTGAAGATGAAAGAACAACAAAGGTATATTGTTTAATTGCAAGTGATTTAATATGAAATAACTTACCTTCTTAATATGATTTCATAACAGGTATTGGGATGTTGTTCCAAGTGGTGAGCAAGAATATGAAGTGAAATTAGCCCATGAAGTTTATGCAGTTCACCTTAAACACAAAACATGTGGTTGCAGAGCCTGGCAACTCAATGGTATCCTTTGTATGCATGACATCGCTGCAATATTATACCTGAAAGGAAATGTAGAGGACTATGTAGCGGTATGGTTAAAAACAAGCATGTTTGGAAGTTGTTATAGGTATCTAGTCAAACCAGTTAATGGAGATAACATGTGGCCTGATGTTCCATGTGATCCCATATTACCACCTAGGCGTAGGAGAGTGCCAGGAAGGCCCAAAGTAAACAGAAGGAAATGTCCAACAGAGAATGAAGGAAGGGATACAATTAACAAGACAAGGATGTCCATCTCAAGATATGGTAATTGTCATCAAGAAGGACACAACAAGAGGCGATGTCCATTGCTCACAGAAGGTTGATTTTTATTTTGATTATTCATTCATCTATATTTTTATAATAATAAATTTATTTGTTTTAAAAATGTAGCAGATAAACCAACTGTTGGTGAAGGGGGGATGTTTATGGTGATATTGATGTTGAATTTGATGATGAAATTAACCACCATGAGGCTGATGTTGAAGACCACCAAGAAGATGATGTTGAAGACCACCAAGAGGCGAATGTTGTAGACCACCATGAACCTGATGTTGAATACCACCAAGAAGACCATGTTGAATACCATCAAGAAGTTGTTGTTCAAGATGAAGTTGAGCATCATGAAGCTGTTGTTCAAGATGAAGTTGACCACCATGAAGTTGTTATTCAAGATGAAGTTGACCACCATGAAGCTGATGTTGAAGTTGACCACCATGAAGCTGTTTTTGATCAACATCAACCTGTTTTTTATAAGAATTTTGTTGCCAACAAGAGGCGATTACCTTCTGGGAGGATCATGAAACTGAAGTTAAGGAAGAAGGTGGTAACAAAAGATGGAAGTGGGGAAAGTCATGAATCAGTCACTTTAAACTCGGCTAGGTGTTTTCTATTAGGATTATGCCAAACACTATGAAATGACACATCTTTTGGTGCTTAGTGCATATCTTTTGGTGCTTAGGCTTGTCTTTTGGTGTTATGCACATTTACCAACATTTAGTGCCATGTCCACATGCTTGATTATCTGGTTTAATTATGCTTAATATGTAGTTTATTACTTTTTATGCGTATTCTAAAAGTTTACCATTTTTCCCCTACTGTTAAAACTGTGTTAAAATTGGTAAAACAGTTTTGTGGGGCTTGTTGTGTGGAATGAACATTGTTTCTTTTACACTCACCTAAATGGCTTAATCCATAGATATTAATTGACCATTTTGCCCATGCAAAACTGTTAAAACAGTTTAAAACTCAAAAATGTTAAAGTACCATTTAAAACACAAATTACATACATAATGTCAAACAGTTTTATGGACTATTTTGCTCCTGTTATTATCATTTGATAAAAGTGCAATGCTATTATGTCTATTTTCAATAAATGTACCCTTGTGTTGAAATACCATGATACATAAACACCTTCTTTTCATTCCCAATTCATACCAACATTACATGAGTTCAATAAAACTACTTTGAAGATACATATGCTAATAGTTTCAAAAAACTAAATTCAAAGTACATTTCCCCTTACATAATCACATTAACACTACATCATGTACTTCACTACAAACAAAACAACAAACATCAACATGAAACATTTCATTTCATCCAATTCCTTTCTAAAAGTCTTACATTCATTATCAGTCTTCACCTTGTACTCACTGAAATCATGTTCTAATATTGCAATCTTCACTTCAGTATTAAAATCATGTTCTTCATTAACCCATTCCCAGAAATCACATTTATCCTTTGGATCCTTCATCTTCAATTATAACATAAACAAACAATATTGTAGAAGAAAAACAAGAAGGGTTCCAAACAAGAAGAAGCTTTTAGACACACTTATCGAATAGTTAGGACAAACCTTAAATTTTTTACCAGGATTTGCCTCTGTTGTTGATATCCAGATTCGAGAAGGAAACCCACAATCACAAGAAATTTCCTTATCAATTGTGCTCTTTGACTTGGAAATTTTTGACCTTGAGCAGGAGTTGGAGGATCGACAAGAAGAAGCCATGTTGAAGAAGTCGATTCATCAAGGAGCCGTATCCATTATGCCCTAAATCGAGTTATAATATGTAACTTTTGGCGTAATGACACGTAGATATGCCAACACACCACATACATATGCCAACTCAACAGAAATTTACCAACTCATTTACCCCTCAATCATTCACCTGCAAGATGTCGGTCACTCTGTTAAAGCGTTAATTTATTGGTAACTTTATTTGGTTTTTTAATAAAAAAACGTTAATTTATTAGTGTTTCTTGAACAACAAAAATATAATTGGGCTAATGTGAACGATTTTGAAACTTCAATGGTCTTTTAAGTCATTTTACCTTATCAAATATATCTAAAACAGTTTTTAGGAAGTCGTGTAATTTTGCACAAATGATCCCTGTTTTTATGTAAATTTATAAAATTGATTTTTATATTTTACAAAATTTCATACATAGCCCCTGTGTAATTGGAAATTTACATAATTAGGCCTTCCATTTCTACAAAGTCACAAAGATGATCCATGTCTAAGCGAATTTATAAAAATAGATCTGGGGTTTTACGAATACACAAAAATTGTCCTTGTCTAATAGCAAATTCAAGAAATGGTCCTTCATAAATAGCAAAATTAGATAAATACTCTCTATGATTAATAAAAATAACACAAATGGTCCCTACGTAATAACGAATTTATAGACATGGTCCATTGTTTCTATAATAATACATAAATGGTCCCATTTAGGCAAAATTATAAAAAATGCCCTATGTTTTATAAAATTACATAAACGATCCCTGTCTAACAGCAGTTTTCCTAACAAATTTAGGAATATGTGCAAATATATGATAATGGGTCAACTTAACATGTGCCCTTTTGTTTCCTAATTTCATAGAAATGGTCTCTGCGTGATAGAGAGTTTGCATAAACCGTCAATGTATTTCACAAAGTTAAATAAATAGTCCATATCTAATATCGAATCTATATAAATTGTCAAGGTAATTCATTAAATTACATAAATGGGCCCTATAATTACCAAAATTACAAAATAACCTTACCTAATAGCAAAAATACAAAAATAATCCTCGTGTTCCACAAAACTACATAAATGGTCCACGCCTAATTACAAAATAATAGAATTGGTCTATGTGATTCATAAATTATCGAAATAATCACTGCCTGATAGTGAATTTATAGGCATGGCCTCATGCTTCATAAAAATTAAAAAAATTGATATTATGTAAGAGGCCAGTATAGAAATGGTGTCGAACAACTGGATTAATAAACTTAAAGCAATGCGCAGGACATCCCACTTGTTCTTTATAACAGATAGAGTAAATTGCAAAATCATCTTTGTAGTTTTTTGAAGTTCGGGTTGAAAAAAACTTTATTTTTTTAGCAGAAAAAAATACTTATTATTATTTTTAACTTCTTATAATGGTAGAAAACACCTTTTGATAACGTTTATTTAGAAATAGATTTTGCTCCAGGCATCTATTTCACATGGAAAGCAGTAAACTCATCATGGAAGATCACCAATTGCTATAATTAGGTTAAATGGCTATACGATATATTTAGAAATGCTATAATATGGTGAATATTTAAAATATAACATCCTAATAAGAAATAAAATTTTAAAATAAAACCCTATACATGGTATATTTTTCATAATATAATAAAATAATAAACTTTTTTTTTGAAAGCATGTTACTATAATAAAGAAAATAGTAAAAGTATGTTGCTATTAAAAGGTGAATTTAAATATGTTATTGAAAGCATGTTACTTTAATATACAGTTTATTTACAAAAGATAAGGATCAGGCTTGGATCAAACTTCTGTAATTCAACATTTTTCCTTATTTTCAATTGATTAGTTACGTATCACCATTTATAATATATCCTACCCACAAACTTTCTGAACAACAAATGTATATACTATTCTTAGTAATCCACAACTTTATTTATGTTAATAAGCCTAATTCTCATTTTCTTACTTTTTCTTTTAACTTCTTTGATTCCAATAAGCATGCACAACCTACAAATATCAGTTATAATTATTATTATTCTTAATTTTTTTTTATATTTGTTTGGTTCAGGATGGAGCACAATCACATGGAGTTGCTACAAAAGCTCGCAATCCGTTTGATTTTTGTAATGTTGTTGTTCTTGAAGTTAGGACTATTATGTTTTGAGTACTAGCACGATTTAGACTTATTATTTTTTTAAGACATTTGTGTTTTAGTTATTAAGAATATTGTTATAGGAAAAGTTTGAATTGAAGTAAAGATGTTGTGTTTTACATTTATTATCTTAACTGTCTTATTGTTGTTTTATATTTCATTTAAAATTAAAAAAATGGATTTAATTTATTAATATATTTTTTTATGTTAAAAAATGTCACTAAAACATGAAAAAAAATTAATTATTTTTGTAGTTAAATAGTGACACTAAAACCTACAAGTTTTTTAGTGGCATAATAAAGAAGTGCCACTAAAACCAAATTAATCTGCAGCGGCACAACCAAAAAGTGTCACTAAAGGTCTTTAGTGGTAGCTCTTTTAGTGGCACTTTTTTTTTGTGCCGCTGATTGCCAGGGGGTCTTTAGTGGCACTTTTTCGGTTTTTAGTGGCATTTTTTCTGTGCCACTAAATGTCATTTAATTTGTAGTGTGAAAGCTCTGTATGCATGTTGTTTATTGTTATTATTCTGGTTTTGTGTTGTGTTGGTACTTTGGGGGAAACTCACTAAGCTTTAGGCTTATAGTTTTGGGTTATGTTTCAGGTACCTCACATGATCGCGGGAAGGCGAATGCTTGATCGTGCACCTCCTCGCGTTTTGTTTGTGATTTTGGGAAAAATCTGATAATAGACATGTTTTGGAAAACTATTTTTGTAAACAAGTGATGATTTGGGATTGTTTAAAAAAGTTTAAATTTTTGTGAAATTTTTGGATGTTACAAGTTGGTATCAGAGCCTTGGTTTGAGTGAATTGGTTGAGACACTCGTGTGAGTCCAGTCTCAAACTAAGGAAAAGATTTTTCAAAACAATTTTCAAAAGTTTTCAAAATAATCAAGGAGGATGCGATGTGTACAATCAGCCGGAGCCAGTAAGTAGACCCCAAATTGCCACACTGTTATTTGATATTGTGATATGTTAGAACAGCATGCTAGTGATAGGCTAAGGATCTTCAGGAATTTGCATGATAGAATTGCCTGATTTTATAGCCTAGGGTTCTTCTTACATGGAATTGACATCATTACTGTAGTTGCTTAGTGTATGCATCATGGCCATGCACAACTAAGATTCTATAGCCTGAGAATGTTTGATTTGGCCTTATTTCTTGTTCTTGTTTGATGAAGGGCTTAGGGTAGGATCAGATATTCGACTGTCTATGGCGTCAAGTGTTATGTAATACTAGCATACACGAGTGATGCAGGGTTGGTGGGAGTTTCATGGATAGGTTGTGTGGGGTCAGCCGGCCAGTTCTGAGATGATTAATCTTCCTCTAGGATGTGAGGATCGAGTGTATGTTTATGTTAGTATGTATCATTAGGGTTGTTGTGATGATCCTGTGGAACAAATGCGGGTAGGTGTGGAAGGTAGTATGGGTCCGTACTACTGGAAGCACAGGACCCATACGCATAACAAGGAAGTCACAACCCCTAGGGCTTTACTGGGAGTTGATTCCCTGTCTTGATATACGAGTTATCTGATATTCCCTAGTTTATTTTCAGTATGGTGACAGCGAGGCGAGTTGAGATTGGGTCCGGATCAGGATCAGGAGTTGGCAGTCATGGTGAGTCAACTGCGTTGGATGACAGGATTAGGGAGATTCTCCGTGAGGATGTTATGGCTATTGTTAAGGATCATATATTGGATTTATGTGAGTCTATTAAGACCGTGATGATGGAGTTCTTTGATGACAGATACGCAACTGTTGCTGAGACTTCTGCTGTTGTAGCCTCCGCAGCCGTGGAAGCTGCAGGTGTTGGACCGGGTCGGGTTTTTCAGTATCGGGACTTCGACAATACGAAGCCCCCGACATTTGATGGAGTTCAGGACCCTATTGTAGCCATGAGGTGGCTATCCGATGTCGAGGGATGCTTTTTCACTTGCTCTTACCCAGCTGACTAGAAGGTCAGGTGCGCTCTGAACCTCATGAGTTCCGGAGCGAAGGATTGGTGGAGAGTTGTTACAGGATCATATTCTTCTAAGAAGAGGGATGCAGTATCTTGGGATCAGTTCATGGAGATGTTTCGTACTCGATATGTGCCGCGGGTGGAGCACTAGAGGTTGGCCCATGAGTTTTTGGATATGAGGCAGGGATCAGAGTCGGTGACGGAGATCACTAGGATGTTTACTGAGAGGGCCATGTGTTGCCCTGCGTTTGCTTCGAAGCAGCTCAAATGACCCGTTACTCATTCTCAAGACGGATATCAGTCAGTTTGTTTCCACCAAACGATATGATTCTTTGTTCAAGATGCAGGAATCTGCTAGGCGACGTGAGCTTGAGAAAGAGCTACAGACGAGAGAGCAGAAACCGGCCCTAGTACAATCGTAGCCAGCGCCGAATCGGTTCAAAGCCACTGATTCTAGATTTGGGGGTCAGCGAGGCTGCACTTGTGGGAAGTGAAGAAAGGTTCATGATGGGGCTTGTCGATCAGGAGGTGCATGCCATAAATGTGGCAGCGAGGGGCTCTATATGAGGGATTGCAGCCATTTGGCCCCTGTTCAGAGTACCAGGATCTGCAATCATTGCGATCAGGTTGGACATGTGAATGTCAGTTGTCCGTTGCTCGCCGCCAAGCCGGCACAGGCCCCCGTGCCAGCTACTTTGAGGATCACAGATGGGTGCCAGGAGAAGGCAGAGCCCCCAAGGGCTCTAGGTCGCGCTTTCCAGCTTACTGACGAGGAGGACAGAGTAGCTCCATATGTTGTGACTGGTATGTTTCTATTCTTTTGATTATGTTTTATGTTATGCTTATCTATGTACCTCTGTTAGGTACGTTTCTAGTGAACTCTT